TTAACTCAAATTGTATTTTTAGCATTTTATTTTAAACTGTCCAGAGAGGTTTGGTGATTGGGTAGTTTTAAAAAAAAATTCTTTTTTTTTCTAGCTAGTCCAGAGTTTTCTACATATAATTAGGTCACCTCTTGGCAGTGGTTCACACCACTTCAGTAGAACCGGTAGCTAATTTCTTTTGAGTTTAGAGAACCTGTTGATGTGTGGCAGAAATACCACCCCCTCCCGCCTCCAATTGGACCTATGTGACACCTTTTTTCCAGCTCTGATGTGGTCCTCCATCACTTCCTCTGTGAGCAATCCCACAAATATATAAATAAGTTTGTGGGACTTAAAAATAAAGTTCAATCAATCAATTCTAACTTCGCAAAAAAAAAAATTTCGTAGAAGTTGAATTGATTGATTGAACTTTTTTTTAGTCCCACAAACTTCTTTTGTTTCTGGGACTGCACATGGCAGTGGAGGAAGTGACGGAGGAGCTGGAAAGAAGGCTAGAAAAGAAATGGTTTGGAAAGTGAGGGCATCTGAGCGGTGGTGAGTAGGGCAAGATCTCCAGCTCCATAGTGGTAGAGAAATGCTTTCCAGCTCCAGCACTCCACCTGCCGCTTTGGTGGCTTTGTGGGCAGAGTTGCAAAGAGGACTCGGAAGGGGAGTGAAAGGGAAGAGGGTGGGAGGGTAGGTGAGGGGGAATGTGCTGAAGCTGTCTGGAGAAGAAGACAAAAAGCAACACCTGCAACACCAGCAGTTCAGAAAAGCCACCTCTGAGCTGGCTGGCCGGCTAGCTGACAGCTGAGGAGGCACTGCAGTGAGTCGTGCCTGGGGAGAGCAAGCAAGGCCAGGATGGGGGGGAGGGAAACCAACTGTGCCAGGATGCATCCAGCCACATGGGATCTTGGCAAGATAGTGGGCGGCTGATTGAAGAGAGGGATGGTCGGGGTTCTGCCTGCTTTATTATATGGCAAGCTATTAACAGGCAGAAAAAAAGCATTTTTTTAACAAAATAAAGCGGGCTGCCTGTTAATAGCCTGCTCTGTAATAAAGCAGGCAGAACCCTGGCTGTCCCTGTCTTCAGCCACCTGCCTGCTAATTTTGGTTCCATAAGAAGAAGGTAGGTATCAACTTGTTATTTTTTCACCAACTGCCTATGTCTGATGTTAGAACTGATAGTTTTCAGGGAGACCGTGTGGTCGAGGAAGGTACTACTTGCAATCAAAAACATAAGAGGTGCTGTCCTGCATCATGGTGAACAGGCCACGGAGCCCCATCGTCATGGGCAAAGATGGCTCCGGGATGGCCGGAAGTGGGCCCTCACCTGGCCCAGGCCCCATCCACTCGGCGGCTCTGACAGGGGCAGTAGTGGCTGCTGCTCCTGCTGCTCTGAGCCCCTTGACCAACTGGCCATGCAGGAAAGCAGGAGGAGGCAGCAGCGGTGATCCCTGCATCACCAGGCCTGGCTGGCAGCAGCTCCAGAAGTGAAGCTGTGCCACCCATCCTCACCCTGGTGTGGCTGGCAGTGGGGAAGGCGGGCTCTGGTATGCACTCACCCTTTGCCACTGCCATTTCACATCATCCCACACACACCCCTGGCCCCTCACCACTGCCATCCCAGCAGATGCTGTGCTGTGGAAGAGAGACAGCATGCTGCTGGCTGGGCCTGGCAATGCAGGGATCGCTGCTGCCGCCTCCTCCTGCCCAACCCCACATGTTGCCCAGGCGCCGTAGTGCATCAACTGCCGGCCACGCAGGGAAGCAGGAGGAAGTGGCAGTGGCGATCTTTGCATTGCCAGGCCCAGCCAGCAGCATGCCATCTCCCTTCCACAGCACAGCATCTACCAGGACGGTGGTGGCAAGGGGCTGGGAGTGTGCACAGGATGATGCGGAATGGCAGCAGTGAGGGGTGGGCACGTGCCAGAGCCCATCTTCCCCCACCGCCACCCCCACCACACAAGGATGGGTGGCACAGCTTCACTTTTGGAGCTGATGCCAGCTAGGCCTGGCGATGCAGGGATCGCTGCCACCGCCTCCTCCTGCTTCCCTGCATGGCCAGCTGGTTGAAGGGCTTGGAGCAGCAGCCACTATCACCCCCACCAGAGCTGCCAAGCAGATGGGTCCCAGGCCAGGTGAGGGCCCAGTTCTGCCCATCCCAGAGCTATCTCCACCCGCGCCAATGGGGCTGCACTATGGAAAGGAGATGGAAGGTGCTCTGATTTCCCCACCAGCCCCTCCTCCTCCAGCCCCCTGCCTGGGGCATCTTCTACCCACTCCTACATGACCACGGTGTGGATGAGAGTCTCAGCTGGTGGAGGCGCGGCTTTCCACCAAAGCCCTCCCGCCCCCCATAGCCAGACCACCTCACATTCCCCCAGCTGGGACCTGCTGACTCCTCCCACCCTCCTGCACCCATCCCATTCTGAGAGTCTTGCAGCCCCCCCAACCATATCCACCTGTTCCCCCAGCTGGGATCTCCAGCAATTCTGCAACAGGGAGTTCCTGCCCCCCCCACTGGGACCTCCTGCCCCCACCCCAGCCAATCCCCCAAGCAGCCCACCCCAACCAATGTGGAGAGAAGGCAAGGCAGAGAAATGGTTGTTAAATTATATGAAACCCACCACTACCTCTTGGTAAATGTACTTTGCTAGGAATAAATTGTTACATTTATTTCTTGCAATGTTGTAACAGAGATCAGCTGAGTGAGATTTCCATTTAAAAGAGACAGATAACGTCTATATCACCAGGTAAGCACTTTGTAAAAATTATATTCTGTCCCTGCTAATGTACCAAGTGATGGAATGCTATTGAATTTTTGTTACTGAGAAGGCAAATTTTGTCAAAATTATTGATGTATGTTGGTTTGCAGTTAGGCAGCTCAGACATATTAGACCTTTTAAATATTGGATATTGCTTGTTGTGGGTTCTTCTCTGAGGTAGTGGCTTAATTATCCCAAGCTAAATAACATAATTAATCTTGCTTCAGGACTGGTTGGTTTGGTTTGCTGCAGTTATTTATATACATATGACAGTATGATGGTAAATATAAACTTAACATATTAAAAATAGTTATTAGACAGCTCTTGTCAAAGTTCAGTTCCCAGCAATACTTAAGGTTTTCTGTCAGATACTGCTAGCACACAAAAACTGTGATATGTTATGCTATCTTTGATAGAAATGTTTAGATTAAAAAATAGATACTGAGCCTTCCTGATTTTTCTATAACCAATTTTAGAATTTATGTATGGCACTGGATGATGGATTAAAGCTTATTGCCTCCACAACTTTGATCACTATTGGGAAAGATAGCAAAATATATCAGATAATTCATTTGTAGCACAAATGAGTAATAATGATACTTCATAATATTCTGTTACAATATAATACTGATATTGTTACAACCTGTCTTATAACATAGTAATATTTGAGACTTAACCCTCTCTTACTTGAGAAACTTATAAAATTAAGAAGAATCAGCACTGATCAATGGGATAATAATGTAAAAGAAAATGATACAAAAGTCACAGTATCTGAAGAGGAAAAGCAAATATAAATACCAGGCCCAGAAATTATATATTAGCATATTTTTAAATTGCACATTTTAAATTACTGTGTGCTTTCTTATGGGCTGTTGTTTTCTTTTTTTTTTTTTTTTTTTTGATAATGCAGAAGAGACTATCTAAATGTTTTGGTGAGTTCTTCATGTTGGTCAACCCTGTACAACAATTAGAAAATCTTTTAAAATGGAACTGAAAAGAGTTCAAGGAGAAGGAAGCTCAAAAAAAAACCCTAGCCATTCAACTGCACTGAAATAATCTTTCTGCCTTCCATTTCTCATTCTGCTGCAGCCCAAAAAAATTGCTTTTGGTGGATGAAAGTTGAATAAAATAAAATAAAATTTAAGCTGGGTTTGCAGCACAGCCAGTACAATGATTTAATATACAGTTAAATTACCTTCATCTCTAATTGATTCTCAGCCAGATCACTGAAAAACACTGAGGGAAGAGCAGACAGATTCAAATCATATATATTGTTCTATGCAATACACAGTTTCATAAAAAATTGCACTTACATGTGTTCCTTATTTCTTGAAAGAGTTCTAGCAAAAGTGAGAATTTCATGCCATCCAGTGGTATTGGCTGTGGGTGAAGCTTCTTTCTAGATTTCCATAACTAGATTTTCAACTTACCATCATCGTCATCATCATCATCATCATCATCATCATCAATGCACAGAGTTTCAGATTCATTTTCACAAAGATATGTGGGGAAACAGGCACAAATTTAACACCTGTCTTCTGCTCTTTAAACCATTCCTCTGTTTTCCTGACATACAGCATGTGTCCATTCCTAATTGTCATGACACCAAAATGATAAAATATACACAGGAGTTCATGATGCAAGATCCATCATTTCATTTTTGCATTACAGATGCAGATAGACCTCAACATATAACTACAACTGAGCCCAAAATTTCTGTTGCTCAGTGTGACAGTTGTTAAATGAATTTTGCCTCTGACCTTTCCTGCCACACCTGTTAAGTGAATCACTGCAATTGTTAAGTTATTAATATGGTTGTTAAGTGAATCTGTCTTCCCCATTAACATTGCTTGTCAAAAGGTGATCACATGACCCTGGAAAACAGCAACCGTCGTAAATGTTGCCAAGCATCTGAACTTGATCACGTGACCATGGGGTTGCTGCAATGGTTGTAAGTGTGTAAAACAGTCATAAATCACTTTTTTCAGGGTCGTTGTTAACTTTGAACTGTAGGGCCCCTCCCCCCAAAAAAATCAGGTGAGAAGGAAAAACAGTCCAAGAAATAGACAAGACTTTCCACAGCAAGAAATTCAAACCACACTCCCCCACTGATTAAGGAAACTGCCCAGAGCAGTTTTCACAACAAGTTAAGTATCTAGGAATGAGATAGTTTTGTATCTCATTCACAAAAGCGGAATACCTATTGAAAATGGATACCAAGCATCTGAAGCAGCTCCATTCAGAGGGAGAAAGTGCTGCAGGCTATAGCCTACTCACAAACAGAATGATTGCCGGCTACAGGTTTCACAAGAAGTCGAAGACTAAAGGGATTAAAACACAAACAATAACATTTAATCTACATTCCCTCACTTGACCTAGAGTGCAGAACATAACTCCTCAACCTCAATAAGGAGCTGGCCCACCACAATTAAAATATTAAAAAACACACATACAAGCCCATGCTCACCAAATCTGGATATTTCAATTAAAAGCTCAGAAACCATATAAAAATCCATCTGCTCACCAAACCAGGATGTCAGGTGTCCCAGAACTGATGCCGAGTAGTTCGCTTCTGAATAAACTAGATCTCCTTTCCAGCAGCTGGCTTTGATCTCCTTTATTTCTGCCAAGGCGACATTTCTGCCATTCATTTATTGGCTAGAAGAACGAGCGCAGAATTCAACTTCCTACAGAATGATCAATTGTTGTAAGTCCTCATCAGTTGCAGAGAAGAAAACCAAAGAATCCAAATATCTATTGTCAAGACACCTTTAGCTACACATTGTGATCATATTTTTAGTTATAATAATATTTTTGTTGGACATTATGATTTGACTTCTAAGTTTGCTAGACTAACTTTTTAAAGCCCTATCCTAAACTGCTTAAATAGACAGATTAATTTATCTCCCTACTTCTTTGATGTGCCCAATATTTGCCTTTTGACATTTGCAATTGCTTATCTGTTCCCTACTTTTCCACACACAAAAAAATCACCATCACTACTACTTTTCTTTTACTAAAGAATGACAAAAGGATAAATCTTCCATTCAGGCACCTCTCAGATTATTCCTGAACAAAAGATGGCCTAACTTTATATTTTTCAGCAGAAACATTTGCTAGCAATTTGTATCTCTTGTAATCAGAATAGCATAGTTGAAGGATAGTTCAGACTTATCAATGCAATGTAGTCCAAATGTTTGAAAGTAAAATATTAGCCAGGAATTCTGAAAGATATTTTTTAGAAATAAATCTTAACAGGTTCCTTTACAAGTCAGAACTGGGGAACATGGCAGTTGCTTGAAGCAGAACTGAGGTTTATTTCAAGAGTGTAAAATACAATCAGTTGCTGGAGGTGGTTAAAGTGAGCCATCCCCTACAAGCCCTTTATAATATATGAATACTTAGCTTTGTACCTCAAAAGCGAATGAAAGTTCAATTTTTAATCTTTGTCTACAACCTATTCTAATTTGTGATTCTAAACCTTTTCTCCTGGTTAAAGCTGGAAGTCTATGTGGTGAAAGAACTTGATACATTACTAAGATGGAGAACATTGCTTTATGCCAACATACAGCAAACTCAAGTGAAAGTATAGGAACCTAATGCCTTCCGGATTATCTGAACACAAATTCCACCAACCCAGTGAACATAAGATAATGTCTATGAAGAAATTTGGATTTTTCAGTTAGAAATATCCTGCAGCAACCCACTTGTAATTATATAAATTATATAACATAAAAGGATAAGAGCAGAAAGAATGCATGTGGTTCTGCTATAGAGGTTATATTGTATTATTATCATTTTTCTAAAAAGTGAAGTTATGATTTATGTAATGATGTCCTAAGCTTTTTTTGAGTTGCCATCATAATCATAGTGATAATATCTCCCAGAGGTTTTATATTGATTCTAAACAGTGTAGGGGAGATGCCCCAGCCCAATACCAGTGCACACTGGAGCAGCCAAGGATTTGATTGCTTCTCCCTTTTAGCAATAGCAATATCATTTAGACTTATATACTGCTTCATAATGCTTTACAGCCCTCTCTAAGCAGTTTACAGAGTCAGCATATTGCCCCCAAGAATCTGGGTCCTCATTTTGCTGACACGGTAAGATGGAAAGCTGAGCTGACCTTGAGCCAATGAGAATCAAACTGCTGGCAGTTGGCAGAGTCAGCCTGCAATACTGCATTCTAATCACTGTGCCACCATGGCTCTTATGATTATTGAGTGAAACTCTCCACTTAGCTGGGAGTGTCCCAGCCCTGATCCCATATAGGTGGTTTATAAGAATATCATTATCAAGAGTATACAATTATGTCAGAATGTCTAAAAGGATCAGGAGGTGTATTTGTCCAGGTCCTAAAGAAGTTAAGTTACTAGAATGGCCAGTGGTGCATGTTAACTATAACTCTGTAAGTAACTGTAAGTAACTCTCAATTATCCACTTCAGGCTTGTAGCTGATTCCATTTATTTAACTGTTCAAAGTTACAAGGGTTCTAAAAAAAGTGACTGATGACCAGTCCTGGCCTTTATGATTATTGCATTTTCCCTGCAGCCAGGTGATCAAAATTCAGCTGCTTGACAACCAGCATGTATTTATAACATTTCCAGTATCCTAGGGCAGGGCTTTTCAACCCATGATATGCATACCACTGGTGGTACTTCGGCACCTGGCAGATGGTATGCAACCTAAACAACTATAACGGGGACGATGAGGTGAAGCAACAGAAGCACCGCAGAGGCCTGGGGGAGAGTCAGCTGGAGCTGCAGTGTTGCTGGGGCTCTGCTGAAGGCCCAGGATTGGCACATGCAGCTCCAGCTGATTGGTCCTTCCAACAGTCTCTGCTATCACCAGGAGCAGCAGACAGGCCTTGGAGTGAAAGAGTCAGCTGGAGCTGGAAGGCTGCCGGTGCTCAGCAGAGGTCCCAGGATCAGAGCATGCAGCTCCAGCTGATCAGCATTATGTGCTTTGGCCAGCTGGGGAGTGGGTGACTGTATGGGAGAGTGAGACTGGAGTAGCAACTGACGCTGGAGCTCTTCCTGAGCCCCTGGTGCACCTGAAAGAGAAAAGGAGGGGGGAGAAAGGACAGCAGATAAAAGGTGGTTTTGGTGGGAGAGGGAGAGAAAAAAAGACAGGAAAGGAGATGGAGAAAGAGAGAGGGAGAAGAGGGATCAACGAAGAAGCAGAGGCTGTGGAAGGAGAGCCCAGTAGGCAGTGAAACAGAAGGGGAGAGGAAAAAGTGTCGACGAGCTATCTGAGGTAGTGGTGTATATTAAATATGGATAAATTCATCATATGTTCATCAATGCAAAGAAAAAGTGATTCAGTAAAGGAACTACCACTAAAGAAATTAAAACCGGCATCGAATTGAAAATACAGTGAAGATTATTTGAAGTTTGAATTTTATTTCATGGAAGAAAACTATCATCGGCTTCTTGCTTATGTTATCTGCAATATTATCTCCAAGCATTCCATTAAGCCTTCTTTGCTCTAGAGACATTTAACAATAAAACATAAAGACCACAAAGAAAAGCCAGTAGCATTTTTTGTGAAGACGAATTTATAACATGCCATGCTGCTTTCATGAAGTCCACAACCATCTCAAAAAAATGTCCTGAAGCATCTAATGAATTGTTCTTGATAGCAGCTAAATGAAATAAGCCTCATACAATAGTTGAAAGTCGTGGTTCCTTCTGCCATTGCAATTGTTTCAATTTTCTTTGATGAAAAAATGGCTGATGCTATTCGTAACATTCCATGTTCTGACAACAGTGTCCAAAGACAAATACAAGTTATGGCCACAGATGTTACTCAAGAAGTGATGGAAAAAATTTGCATTTCAGACTTCCGGTTTTTGTGCCGTAGCACATGGCCACGAGATTGCGAAATCTTGCATCCCGCAGCTGCTTTCGTCCTGCCAGGAGACCCTAAATGGGTCTGAAATCACTCTGGAGAGGTGGCAAAGAGGGACACCTTGCTGATCACGGAACAGTGGTGGTCATTCTGTTTCGATCCAGGAGAAGCTCTCTGACCCGACAGGAGAAAGGCTAGTCGCATGCCAGCATCTAGCCCAAGCTACCTGCAGCCAAAGTCCAAGAGCACTAACCAGAACAACAGTGAACAGCATGCTTGGAATTAATGAGAGTATTTGATCTTCTCTCCCTTATTTTGCAAAAAGCAAAAAAACCTCCGAAAGTGAGGGGAGGGGACTACATTCCCATTCCCACATAGACAGAAGTGGCGAATTAACCTTTAAGGAAGAAAGAAACATATTGAAATTAAATTCAAAATACTACAATCTGATCAAACTTAGAAACTAAAACAAACTGCTAAGATTATATTCTAAAGAATTTTGATGAAATTATTAAAAAAAGAAAAATAATAAGAACTTATTTTCTGAAAGAGCTGGAAAATAAATATTTGCTGACATCTATTGGACAATTAGAATATAGTACATTAAAGAAAACGCCCAGAAACAAAGAAAAATCTGTTCCCATGATCTCTAATAACCTTTAAAAAGATAGTTGCCAGGGAACAAAGAAGAGATTGTATACTGGGCCAGCTATAAGATTGGAAAGTGTTTGAAGGAAAAGAAATAATTGACAATAATTAACGATTTTTTCAGTGAACATGAATATTATGGACTTGGTGGGTAGCAGTTCCAAATGTGATCATAAATCAACAATTACCTGTAATGAATTCAAATAAATAAAATAAATAATTTCCCAATGCACTGGAATTCCATCAATTTATTGAAAACTTACATTTAATAAATGTATTAATCCAGCTACCATTTGCTCTCTAATTACATCTGTTGAATACACCATATATTTTCTTTCCTCCTGTCAATTGCTTTGAGCAGTATTTTTACATCCATTAGTTAATAGCTGTCAGTGTTGGTATAAATATCTTCTTCAACTGCCAGCAACCACCTGTTTATATGTAGTCTCACACATATGGCCTTCAATCAGTCATTTGCATAATTTCTGCTGAAATTTGAATTCTGAATTGCCTTCAGCATCAGATCTTCAATGGATGAAGAGATGAACCATTGATCTTTCAATAATTCCCTTCCCTTAAAATATCTGAAGAAAATCACCTCATTCTCTGAAGAATATTTTACCTTATATCTGAAAGTCTTGGAGCAAAACTGAATAATTTAATTTTGTTTTCCTCAAGGTGATCTCTCAATATTCAGTTTCTATGTATTCTGACACATGTCCTTGCTTTTTCATTCTAATTCATGATCTAATGTCTCATGTTTTTATTTTCAGTGGCTGAGGAAATGCATAATATTGGTGAATAATATACAAATTCAGAAAGTGAATGAAAATAAAATCATTTTCTGCAGTATTCTCACTATAAGCCCAACTAAACAAAGTATTTCCCACATTACTTGGTATTTTTGTTTTTAATTGCAATGTAATCAATGTGTTAAAATGAAAAACAAGTATTTTATTCTGTCTCATTTTCATTACTAGTTGATGTATAAATCCTTTTATTTACTATTAATTACTGGTTGAAGTTCAGATCAGATTGAACACAGATTTCACTTCTTCAAGTTATTCATCAATCACTTTTACTTTTTTACAGTGATTTTCAGTTCTGTTAATTTTAATTATTCACAACACAAGATGATGAAAGAATTGAGTTGCTTGCTGTCAAATACAACTGTCAGTGATGAGTAAC